ACCACGGATGGTAGGAAGAAGTCACTGCCTCCCAACTGGAAGGCGAAGGGCCGCATAATGTTCGTCGACAACAATGGTTCAACCATCGAGTTGGAAGACGACTTCCAGGCGGGAGCGGGTTCAGAGGCGGGCAACGTAGAGGTTTCAGGGGGTGGAACAGTCGTTGCCTCAGTCCAGGAAGGTAAGGCGACCGGTAGACGCCGTGGGGGTTCCTGGTCTAGGAGTCAAGTTGACCCCAATGCTCCATGGGAGAAAGCGGGTCTCACATAGGACGTGTGGAGAGACCGGTATACCAGGCAGGCCTGTATTCGTTGTGGTCCATATGGCCACACCCTCACCATCTCGAGTGACGGCCCTAGCTACTGACTCCATCGTCGTCCCGCAAACACATTCGGAGGCAGCGATCCTCCGTTCGCTGAATGTGTTTGAGTCCTTAGAGGAGCTAGAGGAGGAGTGGTCTAGATTGGACCTGCTAGCTTCTTGGACGACCATGGCCAAAGCCCCTAAGGGTGAGTTGTTGTGTCGGTGAGGTAGTCATTGGCGACCGTAAGGCCGGGGCCTATTATGACACTTGCTCGACGCGGAACTTCATTAGTCGCACATGCATTGAGAGGCTGCACTTGGAGGGGCAAGTGCAGTGCCTGAGTCGACCTGTGGAGTCGACCTGCGCCAACGAACAACGCATGGTACCTTAAAGACATTGAGTGTCTTTTTTTGTATGCGGGAGGGGAATTGAGACATCGAGCCTCGTTCCTAGTCAGCGATGATCTCCCTATGGGTGTCTAGTTAGGTATGTATTACCTCTCGGTTGCACAACTTAGTATGATTGGGACTGAAAAGTGGTCAAGCACACTTTGCCCGGTGGAAGGACCGCCAGATTACGTAAGTTCAAGGCTAGTAGTTTGATTGAGTCCTACCGATGCATGTGTGCGACCATGTTCTATAATTATTATAAGCAAAATCCGGAGGAGGGTATGTACTTAGTTTACGTCTCTGCAGAGGGTGAGCCGGTGAAAACGCCTCCAGAGATAGAGGGAGTGGTCGCTAGGTACGCTGATCTATTCGAAGAGTCGAAAGGAGTTGTTGAGAGGGAGGTTGTACACGCGATAGAGATTATCCAAGGTCTAGCATTCCGAAGGGTAGGATCTATCGGATGTCTCCAGGTGAGCTCGATGAGCTTCGTCGACAACTCAAGGATCTCATAGAGAAGGGTTGGATCCGGCCTAGTGTTTCCCCTTACGGATCTCCTGTACTATTGGTACCAAAGAAGGGGGGGACCTTGAGGATGTGCATTGACTATAGGGGCCTCAATGCCATCTCAGTGAAGAACGCCGAGCCCCTACCGTGCATCGATGACTTGTTGGACCGAGTACAAGGGTGCCGGTAGTTCAGTAAGATAGATCTGAAGTCCGGGTACCATCAGATTGCAATCCAGCCCGAGGATCAACACAAAACCGCATTTCGGACCAGGTACGGTTTGTACGAGTTTGTGGTGATGCCTTTCGACCTTTGCAATGCTCCTGGCACCTTTCAGCACGCAATGAACTGGATGTTTCATGAGTACTTGGACAAGTTTGTCATCGTGTACCTCGATGACATACTTATCTTTAGTAGGACTGTCGAGGAGCATGTAGTGCACTTAGATAAAGTCCTTAGCCTCCTCAGACAGCACCAGTTGGCCGCACCCGGCTCTTGTACCTGGGTCATGAGATTTCCGCGGAGGGTTTGAAGCCCGATGACGCGAAGGTGGCCAACATTCGTGACTGGCCGCGTCCTCGGTCTGTGACTGAGATGAGGACCTTCTTAGGGATGACAGGCTACTACCGCAACTTTGTTCAGAATTATAGCATAGTGGCTGCCCCTTTGACAGACCTGGCACGCCTTGACATCGCATGGGAGTGGACAGACAGGTGTGCTGCTTTCAGACATCTGAAGCATGCGTTGACACACCATGAGGTCTTGAAACTTCCTGATCCTGACAAACCTTTCGTTGCGACTACGGATGCCAGCCAATATGGCATTGGTGCCGTACTTGCGCAGCAGGAGGGGAAGAAGTTGAGGTCGGTAGAGTACATGTCCAAAAAGATGCCCTCTCAAAAGTTGGCTAAGTCCACCTATGCGAAGGAGCTCTATGCGATCTACAAAGCGCTAACCTTATTGGAGGCACTACCTCCTAGGTCGCTTCTTCTATGTCAGGACTGATCATCAGATCCTGAGATGGATGAAGACTCAACCGGTACTCTCCGACGCTCTGAAGCGTTGGATCAAAGTCATGGAGCAGTATGACTTCGAACCCCGGTACATTAAGGGGGAGTTCAACAAGGTTGCTGATACGCTGTCGCGTAGGCCAGACTTTCTCGGTGCGATGCTCACTGAATTTGGGCTTGCGGACGATGTCACTCAATCCTTGGTGGAAGCCTATCACGAGGATCCGTTTATGGCCGAAATCATACGTAGACTCGAGGCGAAAAACAAAGCAACTGCCGACGAGTTTGTGTTGGTTAACAGCCTGCTGTTCCTTGAGAAGGCCGGGAATAAGCTTTTGTGTGTTCCTAATAGAGGGTTTTTGCGTAGTTTATTTTTAGGCGAATGTCATGATGCCACCAAACATTTTGGCTTCAAGAAGACTGCAGCCAACCTGTTGCAGCGATTCTGGTGGCCCACGATGATGAAAGATGTCAAACTGTATGTCAAGACGTGCCAAGTTTGAAAACGTGACAAGCCCCGGACACAGGCTCCTCTCGGGTTTCTCAAGCCCCTTCCCATTCCGGAAAGGCCTGGTGAAAGCCTGTCCATGGACTTCATGGATACGCTAGTCACCAGCAAGAGTGGCATGAGATACATCTACGTTATCATGGATAGATTTAGTAAGTATGGTAGATTAGTAGCTATGCCAGAAACAGCAAAGACCGAGTACGTTATCAGGCTGTTTAAGGAAAACTGGGTTAAAGACTTTGGCCTGCCGAAGTCTGTAATCAGCGACAGGGATGTCCGATTCACCAATGATCGGTGGAAGGCCGCAGCTGGCGAACAAGGAACGCTGCTGCAGATGACATCTGGAAACCATCTGGAGGCAAATGGACACGCAGAACAGATGAACGGCGCTGTTCAACACCTGCAGAGGCACTACATTAAGCCTAATCAAGTGGACTGGGATGAGAAGCTCGCTCTCATCGCCAGCCTGTACAACAACGCAGTTCATAGTGCCACGGGAGTAAGTCCGAACAGCCAACTACTAACATTGAAGCCTAGACTCCCTCTTGACTTTCTGCTACCTGAGAACCAGCCCACTGCTGCTCCAGGCACTTTGGAATTTGCGTATAGATATGAGAATCATATGCAGCAGGCGGTAGAACACATGCACAAAGCACAGGCGGCGATGATCGACTCTGAGAACAAGCACCGTCGCCCATCTATGTTCCAGGTAGGGGACAGGGTCTGGGTCAAGGCTTCTGAACTGGGACAGGAGCACGGGATCTCCCGTAAGCTCATGCCACAGTACCTGTCTCTTATACACATCTAGATGTGTATAAGAGACAGGAGAGAGAGAGAGAGAGAGAGAGAGAGAGAGAGAGAGAGAGAGAGAGAGAATGGGGGGGACTGTGCCAAGCTGTCCATTATGTGACTCTGACAGGTGCTACGTTTCTTTTTTGCCTTTTGCCTTCCTGGAAATGTTCCAAGATGCACCCCCGGCATTATGGCTCTCATGGCAGTGCTACTCCCGACAAGTCCCGCACCCGAAGAGCAACTGCCAAGCAGATTGAATGCTGATTGTTTCATTCATACAATGCAAAACCTGCTTAACATATCAGCGGCACTCCTATAGTTGGAGGCACCTTCCAACAACTTCCCCGGGCCAATCATCACTGACATCATTGGAGCCCACCAAACTGAGACTCACCCACACACACATGCACTTGCACAGATAGTACATGCAAGATCGTTTGATCACAAACATATCCAGAGAACACAGCAAACAAAGTCTGATTCTGAATCTTCACCAAAAACATCAACGGGACGACCGACTGGATTTTCTCAGAAAGTCCAGAGTTCTTGCACAGCACAAAACAAAAACGATGCTGCAAAGGTAACGGCTCCCCAAACAAAACACGCAAAGATAAAGGAAAAAAAATGTTTGGTGGTATTCCCTGCTATTTTCTTGCACGCGGGTTTTTGTCTGCTCTCAGGCTATTCTTTTTCTTATTGTGAAAGAAGCGGCATATATGATAGGGCAGTTCCTTATGCGTTTTCTTTCTTTTGTGCTTTTTTCTTTTTCTGTTTTTGCGGGCGAAGCTGCAACGGGTCATCTAGTGATGATGATGATTCTTGATGAGTGTTGATGGTGACACATTGAGTTTCGGTGTCTCCAACAGCATCGAAGGTGGTGGTTGGTGATGATGATGACACTCCATGGCAGCACTTAGCCTTTTCCCTGTCTTCGATGCCGGCAACAATGATGATGATAATTATGATGATGATGGATGATGGTGATGATGATGGTGATGATATGACGATGGCGATGATGATGATGATGATGATTATCATGATGGTTATGATGAGGATAGCAATGATGATGATGATGGTTATGATGAGGATAACAATGATGATGATGATGATGCTGAGGAGGAGGAGGAGGAGGATAACAATGATGATGATGATCGTCATCATGGTGATGATGAATGGGGTGGAAGGGGGCATAGGCGGCAGGGTTTGATGCCAGTGGGGATTGTGCAGTATCCATAGTTGCCTACCAGTGGGCTCTTTTGTGCTCCTGTTGGGACATCCATGCCTACCAGGAGGAGGGCTGCTAGCTTTCGGCAGGGAAGTACCAATACTTGGAGAAAGAACTTCAGCCCGTTGATCGGTCACTGAAGAATTTAAGCTGCTATGGTGCTTTGCCATTTACCGTCTGTCGGTACGGGGCTCTGCTGACATTTGATGGCACAATCTGTTTGATGGGTGCCCATGTGGGTGCCATGTGTTGAAATTTTGAATGACAGGTGGCTTTGCAAAGGGAGACTTCATGGTGCACTTGGCCGGGCTTAATAATAAGAAGAAGTATGTTTTACGTGTGCTGAAAGAGCTGGATCATGTAAGCAAGATACCAGAAGAAGTGCGATGGGGCAAACGGTGGGGAAGATGGAGGAGAAGACTAGGATTTTATGTGAATAAATGATTTGTTGGTTCCGGGATTTACCTTTTCTTCAAGTTAGTAATAGTATGAAGCCTTTTACAGTGAAGAAGCATGTTACCCCTGTTGGAGGAGAGAGAGGGGGATATTATTCATTCATTCATTCTTCCATCCTGCACACTTTGCTTGTGTAATCCTATGAACGCCTCCACCGCATTGCGCATTCCCAGATATGCGAATACTCGATGGATGCTTTGGAGATTGCCAAGGTTCATTCACAGCTGCACCTGTGCAGCTCTGGTCAGGGTAAGCAGTTTCTTGCCTTGCATTGCGTTCCACTTTCCCCCTCTCTCTCTTCCTCCCTTGTTCTCTGTCTCTTTGTTTCACTCTTGTGTGTCAGATCGGGACAGACTTCCGGCAAAGTGATTTATCAAATCTCCTCGACTCCCGCCAGAGGGTCTTTACTATCCGTGCTCAAAAGTCCATGTGCTGCGCTTTCTCCTGCTAGTGCCTTTTCATAGCCAAATATTAGATGTATGCAAAGGGGGNAGAGAGAGAGAGAGAGAGAGAGAGAGAGAGAGAGAGAGAGAGACAGACAGACAGACAGACAGACAGACAGACAATATAGAGAGATAGAGAGAGAGAGAGAGAGACAGAGACAGAGAGACAGAGAGACAGTCAGTATAGATAGATAGACAGTATAGATAGATAGATAGATAGATAGATAGATAGACAGAGAGAGAGATATCTGACTCAGTGTGGTGTGTGTAGGGATTGGGGAGGAAGAGAGTGAAATATGGAAAGAAATATCGATAGCCTGAAATACCTGGCGCAGGGCAGTTAATCATGAGGCCGCTCCAAAAAGAAAAGACCGAGGGAGAATGTTGAGGAGGAAGATCTTGAGGAGGCAGAAGACGTGGTGGTGGAAGAGACGGACAAGGACAAAGAAGGTGCGAGGAAGGAAGTGTGTTGGGTGAAATGCGTTTTTCTCTCTCCTGCTTTCCCTCTCTCCTTCTTGCGCGTGTGCAACAGTGTTGAGATCTTAGAATGAGGCGCGTTTACGTCCAAGGATAAAGGAAAAGAAGTATTTCTTACGTTGGGCATTACAAAGTTAGAGCGGCCGGTCGAGGGAGGAAGGGGGAGATAGGGAGTAGGACGGAGGGAGGAATGGAAGTAGGAGGTCAGGTGGTGATCGGGCTGAGGAAGGAAGGGGAGGGAGGAGATCGAGGGAAGGAGGAGGTCAGACAGAGATCAGGCGAACGAAGGGGGCGAGCGAAGGGGAATGAGGCGGCCAGGCGGACGGAGGCCAGGGGGAGGTTGAAGAAAAGGTGCGGAGGAGGCCTGTAGGGAGGGGAAAGGCGGCAGAGAGTAGGGCGGAAGCAGGAGGTCAGGTGGAGACCGGGCCAAGGAAGGAAGGGGAGGAAGGAGATGGGAGAAGGAGGAGGTCAGTGCAAATCGGGCGGAGGAAGGAGTAGGACGGAGAAGATAGAGGGGAGGTCAGGCGGAGATTGGGCGAAGGAAAGGGAGTCAGGTGGCCAGGCGAGGGAGGGCAGAGGGAGGTTTAAGAGAAGGTCCAGAGGAGGCCGGGAGAAAAGGAAGGCTGCAGGGAGAAGTAGGGCGAAGGGAGGACAGAAAGCAGAACGTAGTTCAGAGGTTGAGTGACATATGGAGGAGGGGAAGAGGAAAGGGGGAGATGAGCATGGGAAAAAGCGTGAAGAGGAAGAGGAGGAAGTGGAAGGAGGCCGGGAGGAAGGGGAAGACGGCAGGGTGAAGTCGGGTGGAGGGAGGGCAGATGGAAGGAGGAGGGAGGGCAGAGCTTGGGTGGGGTACGGAGCAAGGGAAGAGGGCAGGTAAAGGTGGGGAGAGAGAGAGAGAGAGAGAGAGAGAGAGAG